ATTGAGCTAGCAAACATATTAACGTCGACAATTTCAGTATGGATTCCCCAGCAGCATCCAAATAAAGCAATCCCAAATAAACAAATTGACCCCGCACAAAAGCAGAAACAAACTTATTGGGTTAACCGATCGAAACCCCTAAATAGCTACACTGTGGAGCACCACGGTCTCAACGGTGAGCCCCGGTCCAAACCCGAAAAGAACACCCCATTCGAGTCCTTCTCCTGTGGTCTTGAGGCCATCTTCAGCGCCCTTCCTCCTCATCTCGTCCAAAATGAACACTACACACGCACTCGACATGTTACCGTACTCGCTAAGCACGTGCCTTGTGGCGCGTAGTTTCTCGGGCTTCAAGCCACACTTAGCCTCCACTTGGTCGAGAATGGCTGGTCCACCCGGGTGCGCAATCCAGAAAATAGAGTTCCAATCTGAGATGCCTAAAGGCTTGAATGCCTCAGTTAAGGACTTATCAATGTTCTTTGAGATAAGTCCGGGAACATCCTTGAGGAGGTGAAACGTAAGCCCGACTTCTCGGAGATGTCCATCGATGGCGCCCTCACTATCGGGTAGGATAGTTTGGGCCGCTGAAACCAATTGGAATATAGGCTTCTCAACCTCAGGAATAGGATCTGCACCGATGATCATAGCAGCTGCACCATCACCAAATAAGGCTTGACCCACAAGACTGTCAAGGTGGGTGTCACTAGGCCCACGGAAGGTAACAGCGGTGATCTCCGAGCAAACGACTAGCACACGGGCCCCCTTGTTGTTTTCAGCAAGGTCCTTGGCAAGGCGGAGCACCGTGCCACCAGCGAAGCAGCCTTGTTGGTACATCATGAGGCGCTTCACCGAGGGGCGAAGACCCAATAGCTTAGTGAGTTGGTAGTCAGCTCCGGGCATATCAACACCACTAGTGGTGCAGAAGACTAAGTGGGTAATCTTGGATTTGGGTTGGCCCCATTCCTTGATGGCCTTAGTTGCAGCCTCTTTGCCTAATTTCGGCACTTCC